GAAATGAAGGGGACTTTAACGAAAAAGCTCACAGCTGCCTGTTTACATAACCATCTCCTTAATCTTTATTAATTTTTCAAAATACATATGTTAAAATATTTCAGAATTTCAGTTCTGAACCCTGAATACTGAATTATTCAATCAAACCTAAGAGGTTTTGAATTTTTCTGAGGTTTCATTTAGCTTCTTTAACAATATGTTGGAGCTGTTACAGAACACAGGGAAAAAGCACTTTTTATGGGGGGAAGCTATAGTCTGAACTAATGCTAATTAGTTATCATATAACATAATGAGAATGATCTGGAGTCTGTTAGCACCTCTTCTGACTAAGACATTTTTATTAGTTAGTTGGAAAAGGTGCTATCAGACTCCTGATTTTTTTTGCCACCATAAGCTAGCAAGCTCTCCTCCTATAATACTGAGAAATAGATGTTACTCTATCTGAAACACTTAAGCTAATCCTCAATGCCTCATATAAATCAGTGGTGCCCAACGTGGCATTCAAATGAGCTAATATGTCTATAGCCGCCTCCCTTGACCCCTGCCAACCTCCTTACCCCACCAAATTTTTTAATGTTTTAATTTATTTTAGTTTCAATTCTTTAAAAAAAAGGAAAGCTGACATGCTATAAAGAAAAACGTCACTCCATCATCATCATCTCCAATAATGTCTCTGGGCTCCAAATTATTACCTTTCTCAGCTTTCTCAGAAAATAAAAATGGTATCTGCAGGAGTAAAGTGTTTTGTTTGGAAGTGTGCCTCCTCATCTATTCTCCACACACTCATTCTCACAATAGGAAACTATCACTTTTTGTAAAACTTGAATTAGGCTATTGACCTAAAGGCAGCTTTTTTACATTAGCAAACAAAATGAACAATGCCCCCCTCAATCCCTTTTCTGAGATGTTGAGGGATTGGCAAGTCTTTGGACTCCAACCTCCCTTGCTTCAGGAGGTGGCATTCCATATATGACAGGGACAAACATCCATGCTGGCCACCTGGATGTTCCTAGATAAAATATTTTTATGTTCTTGGAGTTTTCAAAAAATAAGCAATTAACCTCAGTAAGTGAATAAGATCCATTTATCTGCCCAGTTCCCTACTAGTCCTTATTTTTAGTGTCTTCTGGACTTCTACTTGTCAAAATATACACAGGCAAAGACTTATGACCAACAGCTTTAGACTGCCAACAATTTGGCGTGGTGATTAAGCAAGGCAGGAAAGTAAAGCACTACTAAAAAAAACAAGAAGAAGTGAAACAGAATGCAGGAAATTCCATCACAAAAGGGTACAACCCCTCCTGCCACTGGGCTGGAATTATGATTTCCAAAATGTTGGCCTTGCTGACTAGGAATTCTTTGGACTGTAGTCCTTACACATGTCAGAAGCCTCGCAATCAACTAATTAGTTAACCTGCTTGCTTGCTACATTTCTGCCATTATGGAAAAGGGGGAGAGGGAAAGAACATTAAGCCCAAGTGGACACTTATCAGGGTCTCACAGACAACCAAGGTCATACCAGCCTGAGAATCTTCAGAAGCTGAGGTCATCAACAACAGGGCAAAGGGGGAAGGAAAGGGGGGGAGATGTGGGGGAAAGAAAAGAGGCTTGGCGCGCGCGGGCTTTTAGTCTTGGCAACAACTTAGAACTGTTAACGACTTCTCAATAAAGACCTTTCCTTTGAACTAAACTCTGGTTCATTGGGGCAGGTGCTTGGATTGAAAAGTGGGTTGGCAGATTCTTATTTGAAAGCCACACTTTCAGACTGCTAAATTAGATCATGAGTCCCCAACCATTGTTAAGTCCACGATCAAAAGCAGAATTTGTGGAATGTGTCAGGACTGCATATGTGAAAGTGAATACTGCAAAGCAGATAGTCAATGTGTCGATAATGAAAACCTAACTTTTTAAATATCCCATTGCTGTCACGTTATCCAGTCCTAAAATCATGATGGCTAATTTACCACACTTACCAAAAAGTGACAACTGATGAATGGGCTGAGCTACACAAAAGCTTTAGGAAAGGGCACAGGTTGTACATTTATGAATTAAATGTACAATCTGATGTCTCAAAGCAGCAGTACCCTTAGGTGCAACTTTCAGAGCTCCTATAGATGCAGCAACTGACGTGTGATTTTTAATGTAGCAGAAGTGGAAATTAAACATGGGAAGTAATCCTATGGTATAGATCAATTAAATTAACATTTAGTTCTGGAATTCCTGACATGCTGCTCAAAGGCCAGAAGTGGTTTTGGTCCAGAAAAGATTGTACGCCCACCCCTGCTTTACTGCTTAAGCAATATCATCACTAAAAGGACATTAGACACCAGTTAAAGATTTCAACTTGGCTTTTTAAAAAAACTATGTTTGAAAATTGTTCTTTTACGTATTATTTTTCATCAACTGTTGGATTATTATTGTTTATATTGTTCATGTTGTTTTTTTAATCAATGTTACAAAAATGGGAACTGTACACTGCTCAGAGTTGGCTTCAACTGGAATAGCTTATTAGCCTAGCAAAATGATTGAATGGATATAGTATGACATATCACCTTAGCTTATATGCAATCAATCAATTCCAAGTATTTATGCATGTTTGTGCAACCCACTCTATCATAAAAGGAAACTGCACTGTAAGCCTACTAAATGTACATACCGCGTCTTGCATTTCATACATTCCTCATAGCCTTGAGGACGGAAATAGCCATCATTGCACTGACATACGGTGTTGTTCTTTGTAGTGCAGGGTTTCACCATTTTGAAACCTGAAACAGAATTTTCTAACCTTAACATGAACAGTGCTACTTTTTTAAAGAAGCAGAACTGTATACAGCTACTTATCAAACTCTACAGGAGATACTAAAAAACAAAACAAAATAGAAAAGGACAAAGATTCCTAAGGGATAAGATTATGAACGAGTTACAGACGTTAGCACTGGGGCAAGGAAAAACAAAGGTTTGAGATAGTGGACAACTAAGCCCTAGGACTCCTAAAAACAGCCCTCAGCCTTGAATCACAGAGTTGGAGTCATTTAGGTCACCCAGTCCTACCTCCTGCTCAGTGCAGGAGTCCAAATTAATGCCTAGCTTCTGCTTGAATATATCCACTAAAGGGGAGCCAGCTACCTCTTTGGGGGATTGGCCTAATTACAGCTTAATTTCAGAAGCCCTGTGGAAGGAGATGAATTCAGACCTCCCTTAAAAGCAAGCTGACCGTATACAACTGCCCACCAGTCAGGAAGAAAAGGGGGCAGGGAGAGAGAGAGAGGTCTATGAAAAACAAAGAGGTTACTGCTGAGATCAGGTGGCTTTGGACAAAAAAAAAAGTACCCATCCTAACCCTTCCTCAGCTTAAACAGAGTGGAGGTGGGGGTCATCATAATAAAAAGCTAGCAAAGCTCTATGAAACATAATGCACTGTCAGATCATGGCAGAATTTAAAAGCTGATGCTGAAAAGCAGCATGTTTCAGGAATGGCATCCAAACTGTAAACGTACCAGATTTGCATTCATCACAAGATAAGCAATGGTCTAGACGATTCTCACGATCCATGTAGTTTTCTCCATCTGTGCAGGATTTACACTTCCCCAACGTATGTGGAGAATCGCAGTATTCCTCAAAATGGGTACCTATGATATGGGATAGCCGACAATTTAAAGTTAGTATTTGAATGTAGATGTTACCTGGATATACACATTTGGCTTGTAAGTGCCATATACCTGTACCAACTGCTTTAAAACTACATGTTACAAGACTGCCAATCAATGAAGAATGCAATGCAACCATACAAATAGGTATCCAATGGGATTTACTTTCCAATTAGTGTGCACAGATTGGCCGAATCCTATATATATATTTACTAGAAAATAAATCTACAAAACACTGTAGGACTTATATCTGAATCAATATAGATAAATTGCCAACTGATAAATTGTCTAGTATTTACACTCTGCACTGTTCTGCTGTTTAAGTCTTGTGTAACTAAACAGCAGAGCAGAGCCAACAAAATCATCCACATTTGTGGTCAAAATCACCCAACAATATCACCTGATGTATAAAAGCAAATAAAATACAAATTTCTCTCTGTCCCCTGTAAAATATTATCACAACTGGACACAGCAAATGATTTTTCATCCCCCAATTAATGTTTTGCCGGAATCAGGGTATCTACAAAGGTTCTTACAAGAAGTTATATTGGCATTGTTGGCAGAGGAGGCAGGGCGTGCATGGCAACACCCCTAAATAGCATAAATGGATACCCCAAATTAATTTTTGTAAACAAGCATTAAAAAAATAAACGGACAAAATCCATTTTATTAGTCTTGCACGATATCTATGAGATCTTATTTTCAAACAGGGTCACCAAAATCCCACTAGATTTGCTTTTTAAAAAAATCTTTAGCTGTTCTGCCATTGCTGATTCTAGTCCCTGAGATGCTAACATTGGAATTCAGCCACACAACTGGCCAGCAGCAAAAGATGTCTTGATGCCTTCACTAAATGACATCACAAAGTCTTACTGGAAGCACAATGATGAGTATTATAAAAATGGTGTGCTGATGAGGTATGATTACTAAGCATGAGGCATATATTTTTGCTAGATGCTGTTGCACACCCAAGCTTAAAAAATTCACTGGGAGCAACCAAGAAAGCAAGAATGAATCATCTTGCTAGATGGCAAGGAAGCATTTGCAAGCTGGAATAGAACTGCTTGTTTTGCAACAAATGGTATTTGCTGATTGCAATCAACTTTATTTTTCTTTTTTGCAAAGCTGACATTGTTTTTAGGTTGCTTGGTATTTTGTATTTAATAAAGATTTAATAAAGCTACTTATTACTGTAAAAAGAAGATTGGTTTTAAATGAGCATCAGGATTTTTTTACCAATACTCTATAGTGATTAAACTGCCTAAAAATGACTTTGTGGACCATCCATGAAGTTTCCTTGAGACTTTAGGTTGTGAAACACTGACTGATGCAGGAAACTGCCTTACAGAATGGTTGTGAATTTAAAAGGCTAAGGGGTGGGAAGACAGAACCTCTTCTTTGGAGAAAAGATGGGATAAAAATGAAGTAGTTGAAAAAAAACTTCCAGAAATCTATATGATTTCTATCTCTTTTAAAATATATCAAGTTTTGTGAAAGGAAAGCATTTCTGGCAAATTGCCAGCCATAGTTATTTTATCCAGGAAGCACAACCATTTTCAAATGTGCACAGCAGGAAAAGGGATGCTGTAAATAGCAAGATAATGGTTGAGAGAACATTTTCCAAGATGTTATGTGGTCTTTGTTAAGAGCAGGAGAAAATCTCATTCTAATTTCATAGTTGCCATCTCTCAAGCAACTGTAGATATAAATGGTCAAAAAGGGAATAAAAAATGGCCAGATCAGCCGTGTATATATTCGTTAAGTGCACAAGCACTAGATTTCCTAGTTTGAAAACAAAATCAAATGTAGAAGGAATGTGAATGTGAATAAAACTTGTCTGAAGCAATTTTCCTTCAGTTTATCTTTAATTCCAGAATTAACTTAAATTATTCCCAAATTAATTCCAGACCAGAGTACAAGGATGCCCATCTCTCCCTATTCTTTGTTTGTTCCTTAAAATTATTACCCATTTCCATTAGAGAAACAGGTGACAGCACTTAGTGACCTTGGATGATCTTAAAAAAAAAAAAAAAAGCAGCAGCTAAACAGGATCAGACCAGAATAGAACTTGGATCGGAGTATGCCAGAGCCTCCAATGACTAAATGCTAGGCTAGAAAGTCAAAAAACGGTCCAGAAAGTGGTAATGGCAAACCACTTCCACATTATTGCCAAGAAAACTACATTAATGCATCCATGTAGTCACCAGGCAGAATGCTCAACTCAGGGGAACTTCTTTCTTTAGTATGGCATATGCCTTGCAAAGTGGAACTATAATCATCAGAATTCCTAGCTGGCTGGCAATTCTGGACATTGCAATCCAAGAGTATCCTAAAATGAGGAAAGTTTCCTTAGTGATAAAGGGCTTTCAAAATGCTTCACAGACACAACCTAAATGCTAACAAATGACACTAACTGTTTTACAGTAGCTTCTGTGCTCACTCAACAAGACAGATCCAATTCCCTTTGCTAAAATATAAAATCATATTATGCCAACTTACCTGCAGGACAGTATTTGCAGCAAATCCCAGAATAGGGATATTCTCCAGGATCACAATAGGCTTGCAGTGGTGGAGATTCGACCTAGGAGGTTTGGAGAAGGAGAAGGTTCTAATCACTGGGCTTTTCCAGGAATATTATTTTGTCTTAATCAGAGATGCAGGGCCTATCTGGTACAGTGGGGCAATATCTGGTACAGTGGGGCAAAAAAGTATTTAGTCAGCCACCAGTTGTGCAAGTTCTCCCACTTAAAAAGATGAGAGAGGCCTGTAA